TGGCTTCGTGGCAGGCCGGGGTTCCAGTCCCACGTATCCTTCCTGAGCACCCCGCGCAGGGGGGCCGTTGAGTCAGAGTAGTGTGGCATGAATCTGAGGTAGTAGGCGGCCATCCACAGGAAGGAAGACAGCTGGGATGGCAACAGCGGGTCTGGCAGGGTCAGAATGGCCTCAGTGTGGGACATTATAGGGGCGATGCCCTCCTTCGAGAGCCTGAAACCCAGGAACTCGACCTCCTCAACCCCAAACATGCATTTCTCAGAGTTCAATGTGACCCCATGCTGTTCGAAACGCTGAAAGATCTGCTCCAGGTGATCATCATGCAGTGGAGGGCGCATGCACCACCACGTCATCCAGGTAGATGGAGCCACCCTGGATAACAGCCAGTATGAGTGACATTATCTTCTGAAAACAGCTCGGGGCTGATGAAAGTCCAAATGCCATGCGTTTAAATCTGAAAACCCCCACGTGCGTGACAAACGTTGTAAGATCCATGCTGGCCGGTGCCAGAGGGACCTGGAGATAGCCATTACGTAAGTCCATCTTACTGAAAACAGTGGAGCCGTGGAAATGGCAAGTGAGCTCCTCAGCCGTAGGTATGGGGTACTTATCAGGGATGATGGCTTTGTTTACGTCTGTGAGGTCGACACAGAGTCGCAGTCCGCACCCCCTTTTCTTGGCTATTACCAGGTTAGACACCCACGGCGAGGCGTCGACGGGCTCTATGATGTCTGCCTCCACCAGGCGATGCAGTTCAGCCTCCACCGCGTCACGGAGGGCCAGGGGAATGCACCGTAGGGGCTGGATAACAGGGCGGACTGACAGGTCCACAGTAGGCTGGTGTACAAATCCAGTCATGCGGCCCAGCCCGTTGAACAGTTGTGGGTAGCGGTCAGGCCAGGAGGCGGCAAACTGCAGGACATGCAGGCCCCTAGCATCACTCACAGTAAAACCCAGAGCAAGGAACAAGTCTAGGCCCATGTTAGCTCCCTTCCGGGTGATACAGAACTTGGTGGCAGGCGCACATTGTTGATCATATCGGACGGGGAGGCGGGCCACACCCAGAGTGGAGATGGGAAAATGGGCGTAGCCTAACAGGGGTTTAGCCGCTGCTTCCAGAGGCACGTGACTGAAGAAGCGGTCATATGTGCATTTGTTCAGAATTGTCACTTCAGCCCCTGTGTCCACGAGGAGTGGAATGAGAGCTGTGCCCACATGGCATGTGCAGAGCTTGAACGAAGGCTGTGAGGTCTGTACAGTGTTTATGGGAACAGCAGCAGTATCATGGCAAGCAGGGGAGGAGCGACAGCAGCGTGCAAAATGGTTCAACTTGTTGCAGTTACAACAACGTTTCCCCTGGGCAGGGCATGACTGATCTCTGGTTCCATGTTTAGGGGAGCCGTAGTTGCTACAGCTCTTGTGCCCACTCTCCCTGGGCCCCCTGTTCACTCTCTGTAAATACAAACAGTCACTCACCCGCTGTCCCTCCTGCCCGAGACACAGGAGGGCGCACTTCCTCGCTTTTACTAGGTCCGAGTGTCCCAAAGCTAGCAAATAATCCTCAAACGACGTCAGCCAGCGATCCCAGGGAACAGCTGAATCACCGGGAACATGTAGGAAAGGTGGTGGCGGTGATGGTAAGACGAGTTCAAACATCCTCGTTCGCCAAATGTTGTGTTTTTGTAGGACTCAATAACCACACCGTGTAGCTCCTTTCATGTTGCGTTTACTGAACTGCCGCAAACCTTACATTTGTTGACCCTTGCCGTAAATCACTGCTGTAAGCATTAAAGGCACAGTAACCTGTCACTCACAGTGCACAACATAACAGAGTCCAACAGGAGACAATACTGAACCTTTTCAGACTTAACAGCTGGGTTAATTTTTTTCACACTGGAGGCAAGTTGCAGAACCCAAGTGCAGTTTATTTACATCCAAACAAAGGCATGGCATGGCACTCAGAACATGAACACAAACTTACCCACAGTGTTTACACAAACAACACTTGACAAAGTAACAAGGTAAACATGAGGGCTTAAATATACAAGGACTAATGACTAAACATGGACACCTGTGCACATGATTAGACAATAAACCAATGACAACATGACACATTCACAAGGGGAATACATGGCAGCATCTCATGACTATAACAGGGAATCACATGACAATACAGGAAACATGACTGAGACATGAAACAAGAACATGAAACAAAACCAAAACAAGACATGACAAACACAACTGTTGATAACTGTTAATTACAATTGGTGCATACTAGTTTTCGAGCCATTAACTTGCAATGATTTTTAAAACGCCCAATCATTGCCAATGTACTGTATATCAAAATAAACACAAATGGTTTCTACACATAACACTGCAAAAGAGAATTCAGAAACACTGACTTTCCATCATGTGACCAAAAGTGCAAATGGATCTTGCACATTTTTATTCATCAAACGCTCAAGCTGATCTTTCACTAGTGTTAATTCTGGTAGAACTAACGTATTCAAGCATCCAGTCCATGGTGTATGGCATTTTTTAAACTGCTTGCTGTGTACACATAGATTAGAACAGACAGACCATGCTGTGTTCTCAGTACTTTGCATATACCATACAAATGGCAATATAATTACAATAATAACAACAAAGGTACTTAGCAAAAGTACCTAGCAACCCGCACACACACAAGTACCTTACCGCCAGCACCCGCACTCGGCCACCAAACACATCAAAAAGGGTCTACTTTTATTTGTGTAAACTCACAATAAGAAAGTGTTGTGTAAAATAAAGAAAACAAACAGGATGCACTTTCTGCCGTCTCGGGCTCTGTGAACTGGAGCGCTTCACAAAAATGAACTGAAACTCCGCGTATAGGCTACATGCCTACATGTCTACTTTATAATTTCATTAGACATTTTTATTTTAATTTCATGAACAATTTTTTTATAAACATGGACCTTTATTTTCTTTAAAAAGGCTTATTTCTTCTATCATAGTCTTATTTTTTTTTTAAATGCAATTAAAAAGACAAGCGCAAACTGGGTGGTGGTACAGACCACGTCGTCCAGAGTCGTCTCGCAATCATGCATCTTCGGAAGCGAAAGTTACAAAAATGCCATGCACACCACCATGCGAAATGTGGTCTCGCGCACGACCGCCCACACCTCGATGACATCATTTTTGCCGCACACACCTATGTGCTTGTGCGGACGCGGTGAGTATAAACCAGGGGTGCTTCTCAATATCCCTCCTCGTTTCCTCGCTCCTCCATCCTATGACCCGGAAACCGATCGAGCCAAGCCATCTTGAAGGACATCTCAACTCTCTAATTGCATCACGAGAAGGCGAGGATTGAGGAGTGAGGAGGCTTCCAGAGGAGTCATGAGCGAGGATACATGGGTGTATCCTTTGTGGAAGTGTTTTATCGACTAAACGCGACGCAAGTTTAAATTCTCCTCCCCCTTCACATCTGTCACAATAATTTTAATTTATACTTCACCTTTGCAGTTTAAATAAACCACACATCTCACATATTTCAACAGGGTATCTTGCTTTATTATTATTTATTATGAATTTCGTAAATAACCAAACTTCAACAACATAAGGGCAGATCCTTTGAGCGCTGCTGATGACGCTGTGAAGTGACGTTCGAGTGATCAAGTATTCCAATGTATAAAAAAGATTTCCTTTGATTCCTCCGTTCTCCTTTTATTTCCTTGCAGCCTTCCCTCGCATCCTCTTTTGGGTGGAGCTGAGACGCGAGGAAAGGAAGCGAGGAAAGGAAACGAGGATGCACAAATAAGAAATGAGAAGCACCCCAGTCTTTATGCAGGCGCTTGAGCATGGAATATGCTATATTACGCCCATAAAAGCTCATTATGGTTTAGTATGTTATATACATGTGCGATAGTCGACTAATGGCTTAAATGAATGACTACAAAATTGAAAAATCGTGGGCAGGCCTAGTTTAAATTTAGTTTACATTTTTATTAAATGCAGTTAGCGCAACGTTAAATTGCTTTTTTGACCGACTTAAGTAAGACTTAAATACATATTTATATGGCAGTTCATAATTACTTAATGTACTGAATTACCGAATGTCCTGAAAAGTATTTATGGTAATCTAAAATATAATTTCATGCCATTTTTATTTTAGAAACCTGTATGTTGTGTTTTTATAAATAGATTTGTACCTGGACATCTGTAATGATAAAGTTGAAATTTAGTCATTTTAAAATATATTAACTTTAAATGTAATATTGAATAACACATTAAAGTTAAAATTATAATCAAGTACTTTACATGTGCTTTAGTATGTCAGTCAACGCATCAAAAAGTACTTCTTTAAAGCACAAGAAAAGATGATTTACACCTAATGACTTAAAATATACTTTATAGTAAACCTGTTAATTTGACATTATTACAAAGCGCACTTTTTAACGGTGTACTTTAGTGTGTTAAATAACATAGGGGTTTTTCTTTATTTTCATTATTTGGAAGTTTCCTTGTTACAGTGTAATTATACATTTAAGTACTGTGTATTAATTAACAACATGCATTTACTATAGGGTTAGGATTAGGGTTTGGTTTAGGTTAGTAGCATGTAATTGTGAATAATTTACTGTTATTACTATAGTGAGTAGTGTTACAGTGTTAAAAACAGTCATACAAGTGTACTGTATATATACAGTATATATATATATATTATTATTTGTACACTACTAGTGCACATTCAATACAATGAAGCACACTTTTTTTTCACAAGGGAAGTTTAGAGAACATGCTCCATGCAAACCTTAGTAGCCTATAGATACACACATAAACAAATACATTTACTGTGTAAACTATCTTTCAAGCAGTGGCCTTTAGGAACAACTAATATTTACTCTCAGTAGTTTGCATAAATAAAACACTCAATGAATAGCGTACCATAACATCTTAAATATACATTTTAGATCTAAAATTCTTTGAAATGCAAATACTGTAAAAATTATTCCCACCTGCTCTGGGAGTGTGAATTGTTTGATTCTCAAATCCATACTGCAGGACTCTGCGTCTGGGAATGTCAGTTTCTGGCCACGAAGACTCCACCTCTGTAAAGGCACAAGAAATTAATTCACCTATACACCTTTCACAACCAAACATGTACAAAAGTTTACTTTTATGTCTGCAAACTGTAATTGCAACAGTCAATAATGCTAATAAAAACATTTACTTAAACACGAATCTATCAGGCAAACCAAAAAAGGTATTTGTGAGCAAGTATGCTTGAGTAAAAACATTCAGCATCAGAAGGCACTTCAAGCTTCACCGCACAAGTGTGCATCTTGACAAACATAGTGTATAATGTTCACAACCCATGTTTAGATTTCAAAGATTTTGTTTACCAAGAAAACACAACAGTGTGACAAAACTACAGTATGAAGGGTTATACAGTATATAATACTTTGAGAATACATAAAAAAATGTTTTTCACACAGATTAAAAAACACACATACTAATCGGCATTTCAAATTGACTAGCCTGCTACTACTGTAATGAATACCATTTTTTTACGACGATAATTATATTTATTATCATTATTAGTTTTCTAATTTTTGCTTTTGTTATGTTGTTATTCAGTAAGAAGTTTTCATTACTCTTACTCACAGAGTCTCTTTAAGTCCAGTTCAGTATTTCACAAGGCATATGATATGATAGTCTCAGGTAAAATCCTACGGAATCTGAATTTTGTTATTTTGTATAATGAGTGTATCTTTGGATAGTTTACAAAATAAAACAATACTCTTTGAAATCATAATTGTATTGCATTGTGTTAACTTACAAACAATTCACTTAAAGGCTCAATATGTAAGTTTTGCCGCTAGAGGTCGCTTATTCAAAACAAAGGTGCAGCTTGATGACGCCGTGTATGAGCGTGGAATCATGGGAGATGTTGTCTTCATCTCCACAGTCGATGGAAAGCAACCCGACAGACTCGGGCAATAATCATATTCATGGATGAGCTAATGTATTACAGTTCCCCTTCAGGGACTACCGCTGCGTGTAATCGCAGTGGGAACGCCCTCAGCGTGACGCGTCTGAAGCATGAATGAAATCAGTCAATGGAGAGAATGAGCGTACGGCGAGTGACGTCATCGACCAGGAAGCTATAAATATCCCCTGAGTACACAATACGCCAGCTTTTAGTTACTTCAGCAGCTCTGTGTGTGTCTGAATCTGTCGATTGTGTTTGTCTGTTTTGTCAGGAGTTTTCACTATATATATTTTATATAAAAAAACCAATATGAGCGAGCAGTATAAGAAGTGTGTTGGGAAGTGCAGCAATGCCCAGTCGGCTCTCGAGGGAGTCGATTGTCAGCATTGCGAGTGTTTTCCCTTGAGAACTCTGCGCTCGCGGCGATCGCTCTTCGAGGAGAGTGATTTGCTGCGAGCTCCCCAAGGCTCGGGTCCCGCTTCTGTTGAGGCAGAGCGGCGGCGCTTGTCTTGGGGCTCGCAGATGGATCTCGCTGGCGACGTTGAGACGGGCTCCGCCCTATCTCAGCTATCTCCGCCGAGATCTAGTGCCTCTCACCCGGCTCTGGAAGCACGCGCTGCGGCGGTTACTTCTGCCCGGGTGGAGGCACATGATGATGTTGAATTGAGATTTTCCAGTTCTGAGGAGCTGGATGTCGAAAGTTTTGCATCAGAGAAAACTAGTTTATCACATTATACTGCAAATGAAAAAGAAGAAGGTTTGATGGATGTGTTATCTCGGGCTGTTGAAAAGCTGAAAAAAAAAAAAACAGTATCGAGTGGCCAGCTGATAGACAGGTTTCTAGAATTAAAAGCAATCTAGATGATAGATTTCTGTCTGCACGACTTCAACCTTCTCGCCGGTGCTTACCGTTCTTCCCAGATCTTCATACTGAGGTGTCAAAGACCTGGGTTAGACCGGTTTCAAGCAGAATTTACACAAATCAGTCCAATGCTTATGGTAACATTGTTGGTGCTAAATCTGCTGGTTATGTGACGATACTGTAGGCGGAGGAGACGCTCGCGAGCTATCTCTCTCCTGCTTCATCGTCTTCACTTAAAGCACCGGCTCTTCCACCAAAAATAAATAAATAAATAAATATATATACCTCTGTGCTGGTGGGGAAGGCTTACTCGGTGGCTGGGCAGGCGGCTGCATGTTTGCATACGAAAAAATAAAAATAAAAATAAAAAGACTTTTATGCAGGCTTTTCAGGCCGATCAAAGGAAAATCTGAGGGGGTTCCCCGCCGAGAGAGACTTGCGTTCACCTCCCCTAAGGGTGCCCTGTCTCTCCCGGCGCCCTCAGGGGCCCGTCCTACTAACCCTGCCGAAACAGGGCGTAGAAGGGTCTGGCGAGTGCTTTCCCGAGGGACGCTCGCCGCCTCTAAGGAGGGTTCTAGTGTGTTCAGACCAGTCGTTCCCTGCTGGTGCGCCGTTACAGGGCACTGTGTCTGTCACGCAGAATGTTCAACCAGAGCAAAGTTTTTCGTCGAGTTCGTCTTCCAAAAGAGCACAGCAGAAGCGGAGTGTCAAGTCTCGTGCCCTCCTGCAGAGAAACTGGAGGGACGAGGCGGGCGCTCTCCGGCGCGGCCTTCTCGGGGCAGGACTGATCTGAGGACAGTCATTGTCGCCAGAAAGGCCGCGTCGAAAAAGTCCTGACGGGCTGAACGTCAGGACTCTGAGGGTGGTCCCCATCGGGAAAAACTTGAGTTCACCGCACAAAAACACGGTGCCCTGTCTTTCTCGATGCCCTCAGGGGTCTGTTCTACTAACCCTGCCTATACAGGGCGTAGAGAGACTCGGCGAGCGATTTCCCGAGGGACGCTCGCCCCCTCCAAGGAGGGTTGTGGAGTGTTCAGACCAGCTGTTTCCTGCCAGTATGTTACAGGGCGCTGTGTCTGTCACTCGGGATGTTCATCCAGAGGCCAGCCTCGAGAGGCTGGTTCCCTTAGTAGAGCTCCTGGCGGAATGGGTCCCCCACCCAGCAGGGAGTTAGGATACTACTTCATCGGGAAAAAGAAAAATCCTGACGTGCTAAACGTCAGGACTCTGAGGGTGGTCCCTATCGTGAAAGACCTGAGTTCACCGCACAAAAACACGGTGCCCTGTCTTTCTCGATGCCCTCAGGGGTCTGTTCTACTAACCCTGCCTATACAGGGCGTAGAGAGACTCTGCGAGCGATTTCCCGAGGGACGCTCGCCCCCTCCGAGGAGGGTTGTGGAGTGCCCAGGCCAGCTGTTCCCTGCCAGTACGTTACAGGGCGCTGTGTCTGTCACAGGGGATGTTCAAATCAGATCCGAGGACTGGTTTGTCATGATAGATCTAAAGGACGTTTACTTCCATGTATCTATCCTCCCTCAACACAGGAAGTTCCTGAGGTTCGCTTTCGGGGGCGAAGCGTACCAATATCGGGTTCTTCCGTTCGGCCTAGCACTGTCACCCCGAACATTCACGAAGTGTATGGATGCTGCTATAGCCCCGCTGAGGTTACAGGGCATCCGCTTTCTGTACTATTTAGACGATTGCTTGATTCTAGCTCAATCGGAACAACAGGCGGTTCGGCACCGAGATGTCGTTCTTGCTCATATCAAGTGACTGGGGCTGAGGCTCAACGCCAAAAAGAGTGTTCTTTCTCCATTACAGAGAACCACTTTTCTAGGTGTAGTGTGGGATTCAACGACGATGCAGGCACTATTGTCACCTGCTCGTATTGCTTTGATTCTCGCTGCAGTAGATCAGGTCAAGCTAGGCCAGTCATCCACTGTAAAACAGTTCCAGAGACTGTTAGGTTTCATGGCAGCTGCGTCCAACGTGATACCTCTTGGCCTCTTGCACATGAGACTGTTACAGTGGTGGCTCAGGACCAAGGGATTCTCCCCGAGGGGAAATCCGCTTCGCATGATCGTGAGTTCGCGACGGTGTCATCACGCCCTGATCATGTGGAAAGATCCTTGGTTTCTGTCCCAAGGCCCTGTGTTAGGAGCTCCTTGTCGTCGCGTTATGCTAACGACAGATGCTTCTCTCACGGGTTGGGGGGGCGATCATGGATGGTCGCCCGGCTCAGGGTCTGTGGGAGGACCATCATCGTCTGTGGCACATAAACTGCCTAGAGATGTTGGCGGTGTTTCAGGCTCTGAAACACTTCCTCCCAGACCTAAGGGGCCACCATGTTCTTGTCCGGACAGACAACACATCGGTGGTTTCTTATATCAACTATCAGGGGGGTTTGCGTTCTCGCCCGCTTTACAAACTGGCACGTCAGATCCTTCTATGGTCCCAGGGGAAAATTCTTTCTCTGAGAGCTATTTATCTCCCGGGGTATTTTAATCAGGGGGCAGACATCCTGTCAAGACAGGGGCCGAGGCCCGGGGAATGGAGTCTTCACCCCGAGGTGGTGGAACTCCTATGGAAACATTTCGGTCTTGCCGAGGTAGACCTATTTGCTTCTCGAGAAACATCACACTGCCCGCTGTGGTTCTCTCGCAGCCATCCAGCCTCGCTGGGGTTGGATGCGATGGTACATCCGTGGCCGAGGTCACGCTTGTACGCTTTTTCCCCGATCGCTCTGCTCCCAGGAGTTCTGGAGAGGGTTCGCCGGGACGGGCTCAGTCTCCTGCTAATAGCCCCGTTCTGGTCGGCCCGGGTATGGTTTGCGGACCTAGTGTCTCTCCTCGACGGCTCTCCCCTAGAGATACCGATCAGGAGAGATCTGCTCTCTCAGGCGAGTGGGTCGATCCTTCACCCCCGTCTAGAGCTATGGAGGCTGTGGGCTTGGCCTCTGAGGGGGCCCAGCTCATAGATTCTGGTCTCTCGGCTGAGGTCGTTGAGACCATCCTCCGATCCAGAGCTCCCTCCACGAGGAAGTTATATGCGCGAGGTGGAAACTTTTCACCTCTTGGTGTGGAGAGCGCCAGCAGGACCCAGTTAACTGCCCGGTTGGTACAGTGCTGGATTTCCTGCAGGACCGTCTCTCCACAGGGTTATCCCACTCCACACTGAAGGTGTATGTGGCGGCCTTAGCTGCTTACCACGCCCCTTCAAGTGGAGGTTCCCTCGGGAAACACCCACTTATGTCT